AAAATATATGATAAAACTTCGCCTATAGATTGTGAATTAATAGCTTGCGCTTCTAACAATATTGTGTACGATGCGTTACATAAATAAATGTGTATTTAAACATACATCAAAATATTTCTTCTTATTTCTTTTTACCTGTTTCTGTTGAAAGAAAAACGGGCAGAGAAAATATCGGCGAGACAAGAAGAAAAGAGTGAATTGTACAATATACATGGTAGGATTTCTAAACTATAAAGATAAATAAATTCCATTAGAGAAATTAAGTTTTTTGATGGAACGTTATTTTACAATATCCTGAAACGTTTATTATCAAGGAATACTCTTAAAATCAAAAAGAATGTGTCTAGACGCATTATTCTCAAAACGCATTTCAATGTGTCAAAATCTTACAGAAATGCGAGAAAAAAAAAGGAATGTTATCTTTACGATCTCATTTTCACAATCTTATAGAAATGTGAGAGAAAGGAATGTTATCTTTACGATCTCATTGTCAAAATCTTATAGAAATGTTAGAGAAAGGAATGTTATCTTTACGCTCTCATTTTCAAAGGTATCTGCATACCTGCCTATATTCCCTCAACATTATACACAGTTTCGACTAAAACCCATTCGTCTCGCAATAAAAAATAAGTCATATTTCAAAATGCTAGCAACCCTTAGTAGGGTATAAACGAAGAGACTGGCAGTACATTCAGTCAGTAGTTTGGAGTTCCAAGTGGTGCATCAAAATATATATTGTCTCACTCGAAAATAGAAAACAGTATTGCAAGAGATCGAAATGGATATCGAAGAAATAATAATTGACAGTGATGACGAAGAAATAGCAGTAGATAAAAATAATGAAGAAATAATTGTAATTGAAAGTGATTCAGAAATGGCAGAGGATGAAAGTGATTCAGAGGATGAAAGTGATTCAGACATAGCAGAAGATGAAAATGAACAAATCATAGAAGAAATCATAGAAGGAATGAGAGAAGATCAAAATGACGAAGGAATGATAGTAGCTGACGAAGATTACGAGAGTGAGCCTGATGATTCGGAGGATGACCTGGAAGATGTCTCGGAAGTAGAGGAGGAAGAACATCAAGCGCTAACCCGAGCTCAAGCCTACAATGCAGTTACTCCCAGGAAGAGAATGTGCTGCATTCAGTTTTACTACCAGGAGGGACAATCAGATAATAAATATTGTGCTGAGTGCGTTGGAGAGATGCGTGGACTCTTCATAAACATTAATATATATCGCAAGCATAACATCGATAGCTTTGCATTCCTAAGTGGCGCTTGGTGCGAAAATTGTCAACGTGCACTATACATAATTATGCCATGTAACATGTGTCCCATTTGCG